AGTGATGTTTTAAAACCAAGGCGGAATTTAAAATTCCAGGCTCTAGGTGCCTGCTTTAAACCATATAGAGACTTCACCAATCTGCAAACATGATCAGGCTTTTGAGGGTCCACAAACCCTTGAGGTTGCTTCATGTATACCTCATCTTCAAAATCCCCATGCAAAAATGCATTTTTAATGTCTAATTGTCTTAATTGCCAACTAAACTGAGCAGCTAATGCAAGTATAATCCGTACTGTAGTGTGGCAAACAACCGAACTAAACGTTTCAGAATAGTCGATCCCATGCTCTTGAGTGAACCCTTGTGCAACCAACCGGGCTTTGAACCGGGAAATAAAACCATCATGATTTTTCTTTGTTTTGTAGACCCATTTACTACCTATGACAAATCGATTAGATGAAGATGGGACTAGTTTCCATGTACCCTGAGCTTTGAGGGCATCAAATTCTTCCTGCATGGCCTTCTGCCATTCGACTTGATGAACTGCGCTTTTGAAATTCTTTGGTTCCTCCACATCAGATATATTAGCTAGAAATGAAAAACCACCATGACATTGATCCATATGTTGAGTCTGAGAAGCATTATCCACAAGTTGTAAAGAAAACAACTGAGGCAATGAGGCAAGAAAACTGGCATAGTTCTATCATGAAATTGCACCTGTTTGCAATCTAGTTGGTGGACCATTTGTTCTCACAACATTAGTATCTGAATTATCAGAAGAAGATGTAGTGAAAGGAAGAACTACCTGTAATTGTGCAAGGTCTAGAACAAGAAGTAAGGGAGGTGTATCAACTGGAGTGGAAAGAGTAAAATGATCGAATGACACTGAATCATCTGCCTGAGAATCATAACTTGTTGCATTTGCATGGTTTGAAACACTTACATCAGAAGCAATTGAATTAGGAAGCTGTGCACTGGAAAAGGATGGTACAGTTGAGTGAGATAAACAATTTGAATTGTTCACAGAGTTATGAACTGATTCTCTGTGTCCAACATGAATTGGTATAAGAACTGGCATAAATTGTTGAGATGCTTTTTTATGTTGGTCTATGTTAATATGTGTTTAAGGTATCTTTGCAGGAAAACAAGACTCATCAAATATCACATGCCTAGATATGACATATTTTCGGGTTTTCATATCAAAACAAACTACCCCTTTATATCCCAATGATTAACCCAGAAAGATACACATAACAGTTCTTGCCTGCAACTTGTTGGCATTATATGGCCTTAACCAGGGAAATACAGCTGAGCCAAAAATTTTCAGTGGTTGAACATCAGGTACTTTCTGATAGAGTAACTGATATGGAGAACACATTGATAGAGTCTTATAGGGCATCATGTTAATAAAAAAAAACTGAATGTGCACAAGCAAAATACCAAAACTCAGGAGGTAAACCTGTAACATTGAGTTATGTGATAGCAGTTTCCACAATATGCCTGTGTTTTCTTTCTGCCACTCCATTCTGTTGTGGAGTGTAAGGGCAAGAAATAAACTGAACTATTCCTTTATCAGCTAAAAAAGAGGTAAATCTTTTACTTACATACTCTCATCCTCCATCTGTTTGCAAACTCTTAATATGTATTCCAAACTGAGTAAGTACAAAGGTATAAAATCTGACAAAGATGGTAAACACATTTGATTTATTACTCATTGGAAAAATCTACACATATCTGGTATATTCATCAATCAGAGTGACATAGTATTTATATGCTTCTAAGGACTTCACAAGAGAAGGACCCCAAATGTTTGAATGTATTTTCTCAAATGGAGAGGTACATGTATTTGATCTAATCGAGAATGGAGTTCTAGAGATTTTCCCTTGAATACAGGGTACACAGACAATATGTTTATCCTCTATACAACTCCTAATATTAGATTTCTGTAACATAGAAGACATGATTTCTTGGGTAGGATGTCCCAACCTCTGGTGCCAAACCTCAGACTTTATAGCTTTTCCCAAATATGATGCTGAACTACTTGAAATAACCTGGACTCCTCTTTTTTTTTATGAACCACCGGGATTTGAAATAATTCTTTAGGCTTACTCTTTCCTTGATACACTATCTCCCTTGTCCTCTTGTCCTGCACAAAGAATTGAAATTCATCACATATAAACCAGCTCTTATTGTCTGCTCACAATTGTTTTACAGATAAGAGACTTTTAGCAAGATGAGGAACATGGAATATGTTGTTAAGAAGAAGAGAATGGTTATTGGTCTGTAAAGTTACTGAACCAATATTATGTATGGATAAACCTGTACCATTTCCAATGGTTATCTTATCAGACCTCTCAAAAGGTGTAACTTGAGTCAAAGCATTGATGTCAGCAGTCATATGATGAGATGCACCTAAATTAACAATCCAGGTATCTTGATGAATGAACTGGGGAGCCTGTTGAGCATTCATAGCAGAAAGCAATGTTGGTGGTGACTGTCCTTGAAAGGAATAGTTATTCATTTGGTAGCAATCAAGAGATAAATGTCCCATTTTTCCACAAATTTGACACTCAACCATAAAACCTAAATTTGAAGGGTTATTGTTTCTTTGGTAACGGTTAACTGCAGTGTGCCCCCGCTTGTTACGTATTTGACACTCTATCGCCACATTAGTTCTTGTATTAGTATTGCCAGACCAAGAATTATTACCATTCTATCTAGAATTGCTTGAGCCATATCCAGGACCCTTGAAGATATTATTGTGTCTATAATTGTTCCCCTGATACTGATTGCTACTTTGTCTTTGAGCCCCAAACTGAATTCCACCATTAAACTGTGTTGTAGAGTTGTTTTGATCAGTAGTGTTTGTACCATACTTGACCAATCCTGAAACTACTAAGCACCGGTCAACAACATACCGTCAAGGACCTACAAGACTTTTCCTCCAACTAGGAGGCCAATCACAACGCGACACGTGTCGGTATCAGAGGCTAATCACATCGCAACACGTGTCGATATCAGAGGCCAATCACAACACGACACGTGTCGATGTCACAACAAAACTAGAAACTCTCTTCTATAAAAGGGGATCATTCTCCCACAATAATCCCTAATGTCATTTGTATTAAACTATTCATTAGAACTCACTAAAAGAGAGCTTGAACCTATGTATTTGTGTAAACTCTTCACAACTAATGAGAACTCCTCTACTCCGTGGATGTAGCCAATATGGGTGAACCACGTACATCTTTTGTTGTTTGCTTCCCTGTCTCTATTCATTTACATACTTATCTATACTAATGACCAGAGCAACCTAGCGAAGGTCACAAACTTGACACTTTCTGTTGTACTAAAGTCCTCGCCGATTTTGTGCATCAACAAGTAGAATTACCAACAAACCCATAGCCATAAGGCTGACCATGAAATGAAATAGGTTGCAATGGTGGAGCAGAATAAAAAGGTTGAAACGGTTGGGATGGAACATAATAGAATGGCTGCTGAAAATTTTGTGGTGGTAGTGAATTATTGAGGGAACTATCTGAAATCGGAGGAGTGGAACCATGAGGTACAACAGTAATTGTCCCCACAGTATTACCAGGAATATGACTATGAGTTTGTGCATTCGAGGATGAAGCAGCATTGGAACTAAAGGCAGAACCCTGAACATATATGGCAGATAAGCTTTGAGAAAGAACAGTAATCTCCCCTTCAATTTCCCTTTCTGCTCCCAATAACTGTGCTCGAAACTCCTTCAAGGTGATCGAATACTCCCTAGCTAATATGATCGTACAAATAACCCCATACTCCTTGGGTAAACCAGCAAGACCAGCAATCATTATATCATTATCAGAGATAGATTCACCTGCAACAGCCAGTTGATCCATTATATCCTTCAGCCTCAACATATATTTGTCAATTGTATTGGTGCCTTTCTGAATTGTGTGTAATTATGTTTTAAGATGATTAACCCTAGACTTAGAGACATATGCATAATGATCAACAAGATTGATCCATGCTTCATGAGCAGTCCTGCACCCAAGCACATACTCTATTGCTTCTTCAGTTAATGTAGCAAGTAACAAGCTCAACAATGCCATATTCGTAGACTCCCAATCCACAAATGCCTAAGAAATTTCTTTTGTAACCCCAGCTTCTGCACTAACAATATACTTGGATGGACACATAATTGTACCATCAAAATGGCCAAACAATTTGTACCTTCTTAAAATAGATTGAAACTGAAATGCCCATTTAGCAAAATTATCATCTTTGAGCTTTATGGTAAGCATACCCAAAATCCCATCAACTTTAAAATTCGAGGACTCATGACTATCTTCAACACACGAACAACTAATCACCAAATTGAATGAGATTCAGAGATTGACACTCTGATTGAAAACACACAGAAAAGAATGACACTCTCCTTAACTACCACGTTCTTGAACGAGAAAAAATGACACTTTCTGTAACTACCAAATTCTTGACCAAGAAAGAATGACACCTTCTTGAATTCGTGAAAGAATGACACTTTTACCAGATCGATACTACCAATTACACAAATATGAAAGAATGACACTTCCATAAGAACTTCCACAGATCAACAGAAACAACCCAAATCACACAAATCAACCCAGATCACAAATTTACAAGAATTAAGTATGCTTTGACGTCAGAAAACCAAAGAAATGCGAAGAACCTAAACACCAGAAAGAATAGCAGAATCCATGAATAACCCATACAAAACCCCTCAGGACGGAAGTTACCCATAACTGGCGATGATACCATATTAACTCTCAAAAATTATGAAGAACACAGACTTAAGGATTCGAAAGGGGAAATGAGAGGAAGAGAGAAAGAAGAAGGCACTGTTCTATTAAAATCACAGAGGGAAAAATTACAATGTTAATCACAAATGCCTTACAAGCTTTCTTTTATAGTAAAACTAACTTGCCTAGAATTACAATATTACCCTTCTTATATTCCACCAGATTCTAACAAACTCAATCCATATAACTAACATATAACAACCATCATATATCGATTACACTGCGCGTTTTATTTTACATATAAACCATAATTTATACATCACAATCCCACATCATAGTTTATACATCACAATCCCACATTTGATATCCCTTCACGTACATTTATTATAAGGCAAACTCACATAGCAAAGCATTTTTATCAAGCAAAGCACGCATTATTAACACAAATATTACATATTAACGATGGCGTCGCGTTTCACCATTGCATGCTTTTCCTTTCCTTAATTAATCATGCCTTGATAAAGTGAGCATCAAGATCCTTGACGATGTTAACCATCAAACCGACATATTTGTCCGGAGCTGCAACATCCTCAGTCAATTTCTCATATTCAATCGACAATTTCGCAATGTTGCCTTCATCCTTTTGAGTGAATTGATAGACTGGCTTGAAGCTCTTGTAAGACTGGAAAACATCTCCTTCCAAACCATTCAATGTTATGGATTTGTTCTTGTCGTTAAACTCCACTTTTTCCTTGAACACTCCAACTTCGTCCCCTATGTATTCACAAGAAAGCAATCTATATATTAACAAAAGAAACACTAAAATGGATATTTGATAAACAATTTGTTTTAAGTTTTCACAAAAATGAAAACTGAAGTTTTTTTTTGTGAGTTTTTGTAAATTTATCTTGATTTTAATTTTCATTTTTTGAAAACCAAACATGAAATGGTTGTCAAAATGGAGTCTTTAAGTTTCAAATTTGAGTTGAACCAACTGCATTATTGCTGCACACCTAGATTCTTTACCAACATTTGAGTATTGAATTCAAAATCAGTTCCAATTCTTACGTATGATATATTGTTTTAATTAGCCATTCTATCAGTATGTATTTTTCACTCATGGGTTAGTTGTTCACTTGTGAATTAGAGTTCCGTTAATTGCGATCCTGCTACTATTGCTAAATTATGATTAACATATAATTGTGTTCTCGTTTTAGAGAAAAAAGACACACCAGATACATGTAGATATTTATATATTATGTACAGATGGCCTTACCTACACTGTAATTCCAACTTTTAACAGAGCCATGAGTTTCCCAGTCTCCTTCATGCACCTGAACTCCTTGGATACTGCCAGAAGAAATGTTTGGGACGTGGTGAGCCTGTCTCTTGAAGATATTGTAGAACTTCTCAGCGGGTGCCTTAATTTCAATCTCAGTCTCAACCTTGCGCGGAGCCATGTTTATGATGATCCGTTGTTATGGTACTCAGCGATTCGTACAAGGCAGGCTCTTAAAGAAACTTAAGGGCAGCCCTTACTGCTACAATATTCAATTGTGTAATATTAATTTATTGGATAACTTTGAAAATGTAAAGCTTCAAAGGATCACATGAATTTCGTGAAACACTTTTTTTTTTTTTTTTTTGAGGAAACATGAAACACATTTATTTATTAAAAAAAATTCAGATAAAGGAAATCAGACAGATGTTGCAATAACTTTTGGTTTAGTACATGATTTGGATCAATACTAATTTTAGGATGCTATTGTTGATATCTTAAAAAATTATTGTGCTCTCAAAATATTTGATGTTTAGAATGAAACATATACTTGTAAAAAGTGCTTAAATAAGATTTTTTAAATATCAATAATATCACCCTAATATTAAGGTCACTCACTATTTTACTCAGCTTTTTTTTTTTTTTTTGTTTTGAAAAACTAGATTTCATAACGAAGGCTAAGAAGTCAAAGATTACAAAGAAAGGCCACAACAAGGCAAACAACCAAAAGACAAAACAGGAAGTGCGAGACCCTACACTGCCAGGAAGCAACTAGTGTCACCCTTGCTATTTTACTCAGCTTTTAGGTACTAAATGGTCTGATTGTTTCTTACTTTCGAACAGATAAGGTCCAAGCGAGTCACTGTGAAATTATTGTAATCTAAAATGTTAGTACAAGTTGCAGTACCCAAATTAACCAATCATTGGATTTACAGTATTATATTTTACCTTTTCAATTATCACATTTTTGTCCCTTCTGAATTGATTAAAATTTAGGTACTAAGTTTGTTCTTTTGTTGAGAATTCATCACCAACTCCCTTGCCCTATTATTTTTTATCAAGGAAAAAGAACTTCCCATTTTTAAAAGTTGGGATTCATCATAAAATCAAGTGATAATATAAAGAGTAGCCCAACCTCTTATAAGATTTTGTATAATTTGGTCCCTCACAGACATGAGGCTTTGACCACACATTTTCACATGCCCCTTCATGTGTGGCGATTTTCAAGCCGAACACATGGACAACACAAATAAGATGATGTGGCACACGTGTAGCTGTTGGGCACTTAGGCTTCACATGTGGACCAACTTGCTTTGATATATACCACGAAGAAACTTCATATTTCATCATAAAATCAATTGACAATATAAGGAGCAACCTAACCTCTAATACACCCTTGCATGGTTTGATCTCTCACCGTATTGGTCACAAAGTAAAAATCTTTATTCCTTGACATATACGGGTACATGTTCATCTCATATGAAAATACGAGGTGAGGTTCCGCAAGGACATGCTGGTGATATCGACCCCATGTCCAGCGGCCTATCTGAATCCAAGGGTGAATGAAACTAGAGCTGTGATGATTGTTGTTAATCTAACCACAAGTCACTACTCATTACAAGCATGCAAAGAGAATCACATGTATCACATGAAAAGGGAAAAGGTCTATGCATGCTTAGCTTTATAAAAACCAACAGGATCTTCTTTGGATTCTTTTGTTGAGGATTCTAGAAATTCGTGATTGTGTTCAGTCATCGTACATTGTGCGATCAGTTTTTGTTAAGTACTGTTTATATTTAATTTTAAATAAAAATATTTAAAATAATTTCTGACCGCACGATGTATAATACATTGACAGGATTGACGGATCCCCGAGATCCTCACAAAGAGGATCTGACAAGGTCTCAAAAGGGTTATATAGTATTTATCCGTGATATGAGTAATGCTAGGGAGACTAAATTTGCAAACTAAATTATGTGTCAACAATAGAAATGAACACGCTTATCAACGTTTAAGCAATAAACCAATAATCAACTACCAGGTCCTTTAGTTTTCAAAATTTAGTTTACAACCCGTGATGTTATCTCATAGGGTAAGTAATGCTAGGAAAACTACGTTTGAAGACAAAATTTTGTAAAGTAAATGATATAAAAGTTGATGATTGGATTGTTACTTAAGTATTAATAAACGTGTTCATTCCTTTTTGTGACATATCATTTAATTTGCAAATTTTATTTACAAATTTTGTCTTCCTAGCATTATTCTATCTCATATCCAATTATCTGAAAACTAAGGGATTTTCCTCGATCAATTCGGGTACTTTTTGCATCTTCCCAAGCTGATCTTGAGATTGTATTAAATGTGGATCGCAGAGGCGTTGCGGATAACAAAGGCAACCCCATCAATGGTGACAAGCTGATTGCTTTGATTTCTGCTATTGTATTGGGGGAACACCCCAGAACCAGCATAGTGACCGATGCGCGTACAAGTATGGTGCTTACATGATTCATCACGAATCGAGGGACCAAAAAAAATTAATAAAAGAACTATGAATACGGAAGCATAAATGATCAAATACACAGAAACGAAAGAAAGTAATGAAGAAAGATAGAAAGTAATGAGAGAAGAGGAATCGACCACCAAGATCCATGGTGTAAGCCTTGATGGCTCTGATACCATATTAACTACATTGCAAAAGATGCAGAATTGGTACAGAGGAAGACAAAAAATTGGTAGAGAGAAACAAGAAAGATTGTATTGATTGATTAGAGAAAATGTATACAAACGAACTTTAGGAAATGATAGCTAAGCAATCCCTTATATAATCATATATCTCAATTACAATAATACCTTTCTAACTATATTTCTGTTATATCAGTTATTAGGAAACATCTGGACGTGGTGCTCTTAAAGAGAACCGTTTCCTTGATGATGGTAATTAGCATTGTGGTTTTTGCATGTTCTGTTTCTGCTTCCTTAATTTAATTTGTTCTAATTTAAATTCCACTGTAGCTTATTTATCGTGTTTGGGATTGAATAATTGTTCATAGGGGAATACATGGTGGTAAAGATCAACTTCGAAATGGTACGCATGAAGCTTACAGGATGGGACAAAGGGGTTGGAAGCATCATAAAAGACCTTGAAGAACCATCAGAGTCCATAAAGCTAGGGATGGATGGACTTTCTGAGCCTAGATATGAAAAAGAAAAAGCGGTTCAGGCCATTGAAATGTTCCGAGAGTATGTTGAGGTAAGAGCCCAATCAATTATAAGTTCATGTAAGATTCATTTAACTTGTTGACGTACGACAACTCTCTACATCCTCAAATTTTTTATACAGTATGTACTTTGACTTGTAGGAGGGACGACTTGAGGGGTGGAAGTTAGATTTGAGTGGCAATTGTTGGGTCGGCAAAGAGTGTTTGGTAAACTCAAATGTTGCAGCTGCTGCAGTTGACGCTCACATGCACAGGTGCTGTACAGAATAGAGTTGAATTTGCAATTGATCGAGTTAACCATGGCTACATTTCTTCATGTTTTAATTAAAACTTGTATGTTTCAGAGAAAAACTATAGGATGAAGAACATGGACTGCATGGTTGGGTACACATTAGGCAGAGCATTCACAACCCGAGCATTGCACTAAACATGCAATCAACTGCGTCTGGCTGTTGCCGAACAATGACAAGAGTTCTTTTATTACTCTAGTGTTGATAAATATGCTCATTTCTATTGGTGTCAGGTGATACATCATTTAGTTTGTAAATTTTGTCTACATTGTCTCCCTAGTATTACCCTTTAGATAAGTAAGTCCTGTTGCTCCATTTGACGTTCACCCTACCACGTATGCAAATTCGTAGAATGGTGAAAAATAAAGTTCGTAAATGATTGATTCAACTGACGGTTCGTTTTCTTTGAAGATTCCTCGTAGCAAGTGGAATGGATAAAATCCTTGACATTAGCCAGATTGATAAGTACGCCAATAGTGGAATTGTAGGCTGAGCTTCTATAATCTATGGTGAAGTAGCTAGCTAGGTATTCAAGTAACCAAGCCCAATGGTTCCGATCTCTATTCCAATAACGACATAGCTCTGCAAATAGTTTGACTACTTTACCCTATGCTTCGAGTGTCAGGCGATTTTGAAAGAGGCAGCAGAAAAAACTGGGAAGTGAAGCAGCCGAGTTAGCTAGCAAGGTTGGAACCAAAAGGAAGCTGCTAAATTACACGTTCTTGTCAACTTGTCCGCACCGCAAGCAAGATCATCAACATCGTCGTCATCACCAACTCATCTATTAATCTCTGGAAGTCATGTTTTATTTGTACATCAATGTATAGCCTTGCATTTTAAGTGACTCATATCTACTTACTAAACTACACGTTAAATTCTTCATCACACATTCAACATTGAAATCAACAATGCATCTCAGACATTAATATACTATAAAATTTTAACCATACATAATATTGTTTGCAAGCCATTCGCCACAAAGCCTATTCGGTACAATCTCAATATTAACATGCTCTAAGAGAATAATAATATTATTTTTATGTAAGTATTTGGAAGGGAAGTTTTCATGCCTTCTTGTTTTTTACTTGTATGCTTAGGAATTTGTCAGCGGTGAGGTTTCTCACTTCATTCTTCTTCTTTATTTGCTTGGAAAGGTATTTTTCCTTAAGGTTAGTGCTACAGCAAGAGGTAGAGTCTGCTAACGTATATGAGTTTCATCTTTATTGGAGAAATGATACAAATAGATGGTAAGAATAATATTTTTTTTGTTTTCTTAAATATATACGAAAGAAAGAGATTGAAACAGTATAAAAAGCGGATCCATATGGAACCTATGAATATACTCTCCTTTTTTTTTTTTTTTTTTTTTTAAGGAGCAAGCTGGTGGCTTCGCCACAGTAGTTCACCCTTTCAGAGATGGGAAGACTCAGAGGCATTTCAGCCTCTCCTGGCCACCATTTGTGATTCACTAGCGTAAACAATTGAACTGAAGACGTGCCTTGTAAAAAACGGACCTAAAATTTTCCCAATCACTAGGCCACCATGTGGTGTTCTATAAAATATATTCATATAAAATTATAAATTGTAACGTACGTAGCACAAATGATTTTGAAGTAATGCTATACTTATCACTTATTTGTACGTTATTTGTATCATCTGTCTAATAGAGGTAGGGCTTGTCAACACATGTGAGTTCCATTTCTATTAAGAGAATTCTCTCCCCTCCTAATCTCTCTCTTCTTCCCTCCCCTCCTATTTGAATAATTACGATTAAGTCACGTCAATATCTTATATTGATATTTTTATAGAGACAAAAGATACAAAGCAAAATATAAGAGGAGAAGAGGAAATAGGAGAGAAATAAAAGGGGAGAAACTCCTACTCCAGTAAGACTAACATTTTTGGGAAAATTATTTAGATGCCACCTTTGAAGATAACTTTTAATTATTTTTAATACATAAAAAAGACTACGATTGCTAATTTTTAAGTCCTCCATTCCATTGTCTGGTAGCCCAGACCAATCTGAGGGCTAATTTAGAATTTCCGATCCAGGCTTGCATCTAGAAAACGGGTTTTGAAATTGTTCGGCTATCTGACTCGAAAAAAAATTGTTAAACCGGCTAGGCCTTAAATTGTTGGGCCGGTCCATTTTCTTGTATGTCAGGAATGTTTTTCTTTTTAGTACATTGTCATCAAGAAGTTGATTTCATGGTTTGTTAAAAATTTTGACATGTTTATAATAAAAGTATGTCTTGCAGAAACACTTGTGAGTATAAGGCCTCGTTTAGTATGCTGTTTAAAGCATCGTTTAGGACTAATAAGATGGAGTAGGTGTTTGGTGTATGTATGTATTAAAAAGTCATCGGATTAAATAATTTGGTTCTATCAATTTTATACAGCTCACACCCGCTTAGTTGTACTCTCCAAAACTATGATATTATTTAGTCGGGTTGCTCAGTCCTCTCTTGCCATCCACTCTCTCTGTCCCTCGAAAAAAAGGTTTTACAGACTTACCTATCTTTTTTTGTTTAGAATTTCTTTCGATTTGGAAATGCAAGCAAAATTGTGAGAAATTCCAAACCACAATATCACCAATGTGACTGGCCATAAAAAAAACAACATAACTCTATTTTTTAATATATACCATATAGTATTACGGTCTAATAATATTTTTTTTTTTTTACTTGCAAGCAAGTTTGATATCAATTTATTCCTCTATTTTTTAATGTAAATATTGTATCAAAAACTCTACTTTTCAATATATTTTGCACACCAACCTGAGGGGTGTCTAGGGTGTGCTTTAGCCCATCCCAACCAACAAAATGTCCTACCTTTAACCTAGTCTTAAACTACCATCCTCCCACTTAAATGGCTCATCCCTACCCCAGATTTGGGGCTGAATCCGCGCCTCACTATATCAAACAATTGAAAGAAAAGAAAAAGAGGTTGATCAACTATATAATTTTTTCATTTTAGCATTTATGATTGAGGCTGATGGGTACATAAAAAGCCACAAATTTTGTAGAATTTAACATAATCACATGAAATAAAGGATCTACACCAATAAGTAAAAGTTCGATGAGGTAGCCCTAGCCCACGCACATCTTATATATATAAACACACAAACATGATTTGATGCGAACGAAACAGTCGTCATATCACATGTTTTTATTAATCACACACGTGCAGATAGATCGTGATTGCAGCACACAGATTAATCACAGATCATATAATTAAGCCTTAAGCCTTCTGTGTTTATTTTGCATCGGTGCTTGTAAGGTGAGCATCAATATCTTTGGAGACCTCAACTGCAAACTGGAGCAATGTATGTGGACCTTCAATATCGTCATGGTGCTTCTCATACTCCATAGTCCAGTGCACGTTGCATCCCTCGCCTTTCGGTGTTGCGTGGATGGTGACCTTGAAGCTCTTGTAATGCTCCAAAAGATCTCCTTCAATCACTTTGAAGGTGATCAGATTATTTTCAGCGTCTATGGCTTCAACCAACTCCTTAGCAACTTTGACTTTTTCATCTGCATACATGAAAATCTCACATAATTAATATGATATCACAAGCTTGAGCTTAATTAAGTTGACTAGAACATTGTAAGTTCAAATCCGCTCATCATAAATTAGATAAATTTAGCATAAAATGTCGCTTTGTATTTTAGGATGATACATATATATAAAAGAGTAATATAGTCGATATTAATTGAAGCAAGGTAGTTAGGGTTTTACTATGGAAATAATTCCAGTAGACCACAGATCCGACGGTTCCCCCAATCACCTTCATGTAGGTCACAGCCCCGAATGTTTCTATTGCTGGCATTGGAGATGTGGTGTGGTTTGTGTGTGAACATTTCATGGAACTTGGCACCAGAAGCCTTGCTTTCAACATCGGTCTCCACCTTACCACAATCGCTAGACATTTTCACCAAAAAAGGTTATTTTCCAAATATTATAGGAGTGTAGAGTCATATAACCTATATATAGAGTACTTCTTATTTGAATAAAACAATCGGAACCTTGCACTTATATAGACAGAGAAGGTGACTGCATTCTAACAACAAATAAAACACATGTTTAATAAGTGAGCTGAAATAATTGCCTCCACTCCCATTATATTATTAATTTAAAATATAGCAGGTAATAAAAGGATTGATTGGATATGACTAATATAACATATTATATATAATATGAGGTATATACACATTCATTTTCACTTCCTACAATCCTTATTTTATATATATATATATATATATATATATATTTTTTTTTTGAAGATAGAGATAAGATAATATAATTAGCACACCCCCTAACTCTCCAAATACCGTTGAAATTCCTATAACAAAATATAAATCTTCAATATGGCAGTTGTGATCGCATAATTTGTAGAAAAGCTTCTGCAAGCAACAAGGAGAACTTCTGCATTTGGAGTAAGATACTGCTCTCTTAAAGATTTTAACCGCCAACACATGAGGTGAACATCCCGTATTGGTCACAAAATAAAAAATTTTGTTCGCTGATAGATACGGGTACATGTTCATCTCATATGAAAATACGAGGTGAGGTTCCGCCAAGGACATGCTGGTGATATCGACCCCATGTCCAGCGACCTATCTGAATCCAAGGGTGAATGAAACTAGAGCTGTCATGATTGTTGTTAATCTAACCACAAGTCACTGCTCATTACAAGCAAGCAAAGAGAATCACATGTATCACATGAAAAGGGAAAAGGTCTATGCATGCTTAGCTTTATCAAAACCAACAGGATCTTCTTCGGATTATTTTGTTGAGAATTTTAGAGATTCGTGAATTGTATTCGTTTATCATACATTGTGCGATCAATTTTTGTCAAGTACAATTTATGTTTAATTTTAAATAAAAATATTTAAAATAATTTCTAACCGCAAGATCTACGATGAATGGACATGATTGACGGATCCTCGGAATTCTCACAAAGAGGATCCGGCGAGGTGTCGAAAGGGTTATAGTACTTTCTCATGATATGAGTAATGCTAAGGAGACTAAATTTGCAAACTAAATTATACGTCATCAATTGAAATGAGTATGTTTATCAACGCTCAAGCAATAAACCAATCATCAAATTTTATGTCCCTTAGTTTTCAAAATTAGTCTACAAATTGAGTCTACCTAGCATTTCCCCCGTGATATTATCTCATAGGGTAATGTTAGGAAAACTAAGTTTTTAAAGAAAATTTTGTAAACTAAATGACATGGAAGTTAATGATTGGATTGTTACATAAGTGTTAATAAACATGTTTATTCCTATTAGTAACACATTATTTAGTTTGCAAATTTTATTTACAAATTTTGTCTTCCTAGCATTACCCTGTCACATATTCAATTATCTGAAGATATATTATATTCACACATCCCAAATTACTTCTCATACACCTTTTTAATTTTTTAATATTTTCTAAATACCACTAACACTTGATACAAAAATATTAAAAAATTAAAAGGACATGGGAGAAGTAATTTGGAATGTGTGAATATAATCTTCCTTACTTGAAAACTAATTGTTTTTCCTCGATTAATTCGGGTACTTTTTGCATCTTCCCAAGCTGATCTTGAGATTGTATTAAATGTGGATCGCAGTGGCGTTGCGGATAACAAAGGCAACCCCATCAATGGTGACAAGCTGATTGCTTTGATTTCTGCTATTGTATTGAGGGAAGACCCCGGAACCACCATAGTGACCGATGCGCGTACAAGTATGGTGCTTACAAGATTCATCACGAATCGAGGGGATCACCATTGCTTATAACGACTTGGTTATCGAAAAGTGATTGTTAAGGGAGGGCAGCTTAATAGGACAGTCATTGAAACTCATCTCATGATGGAAACATCTGGACATGGTGCTCTTAAAGAGAACCGTTTCCTTGATGATGGTAATGAGCATTGTGGTTTTTGCATGTTATGTTTTTGCTTCCTTAATTTTGTTCTAATTTAAATTCCACTGTAGCTTATTTATCGTATTTGGGATTGAATAACTGTTCATAGGGGCTTACATGGTGGTAAAGATCAACATCGAAATGGTACGCATGAAGCTTGGAGGATGGGACAAAAGGGTTGGAAGCATCATAAAAGACCTTGAAGAACCATCAGAGTCCATATAGCTAAGGATGGACGGAGTTTCTGAGCCCAGATATGCAAAAGAAAAAGCGGTTGAGGCCATTGAAATGTTCTGAAAGTACGTTGAGGCAACCGTTTTGAGCTCAATGAATTATAAGTCCATGCAAGGTTCATTTAACTTACTGACATTCGACAACTCTTCACATCCTCAAATTTTTTATACAGTATGTACATTGACTTGTAGGAGGGACGAGTTGAAGGGTGGGAGTTAGATTTGTGTGGAGATTGTTGGGTCAGCGAAGAGTGTTTGATAGACTCAATTGTTGCAGCTGCTGCAGTTGATGCTCACATGTACAGGTGCTGTACAGAATAGAGTTGAATTTGTAATTGATCGAGTTAACCATGGCTACATTTCTTCATTTTTTAATTGAAACTTGTATATTTCAGAGCAAAACTATAGAATGAAGAACATGGACAGCATGGTTCGGTACACATTAGGCAGAAGAAAAAACTGGGAAGTGAAGCAGCCTACTAGCTAGCAAGGTTGGCACCAAAAGGAAGATGCTAAATTACACGTTCTTATCAACTTATCCGCACCGCAAGCAAGATCATCAGCGTCGTCGTCATCACCAACTCATCTATTAATCTCTAGGAGTCATATTTTATTTGGACATCAATGTATAGGCTTTGCATTTTAAGTGACTCCTATCTACTTACTAAACTATACGTTAAATTCTTTATCGCACATTCAACATTGAAATTAGCAATGCATCACAAACATTAATATACTATAAAATTTTAACCATACATAATATTGTTTGCAAGCCATTCGCCACAAAGCCTATTTGGTACAATCTCAAGAGATTAATAATATTATTTTTCTGTAAGTATTTGAAAGGGAAGTTTTCATGCCTTCTTGTCTTTTGCTTGTATGCCTAGGAGTCAGTGGTGAGGTTTCTCACTTCATTCTTCTTCTTTATTTGTTTGGAAAGGTATTTTTCCTTAAGGGTAGTGCTACACGAAGAGGTAGAGCCTACAACGTATATGAGTTTCATTTCTATTGGAGAGATGATATAAATAGATGGTAAGAATAACTTTTTTTGTTTTCTTAAATATATACGAAAGAAAGAGATTGAAACAGTATAAAAAGCAGATCCATATGGAACCTATGAATATATTCCTTTTTTTTTTTTTTTTTTTTTTTTTTAAACAAAGGGAGCAAGCTGGTGGCTTCACCACAGTAGTTCACCCTTTCAGAGATGGGAAGACTTAAAGGCATTTCAGCTTCCCTAGCCACTTTCGTGATTCACTGGCGTAAAAATTGAACTGAAGACGTGCCTTGTAAAAAACGAACCTAAAATTTTCCCAATCACTAAGCCACCCCGTGGTGGTTCTATAAAATATATTCATATAAAATTATAAATTGTAACGTACGTAGCACAAATGATTTTGAAGTAATGCTACACTTATTACTTATTTGTACATTATTTGTATAATCTCTCTTTAATAAAGGTAGGGCTCGTCAACATATGTGAGTTCCATGTTTATTAAAAGAATTTTCTCCCCTCCTAATCTCTTTCTCCTTCCCTCCCCTTCTATTTGAATAGTTGCGATTAAATTATATTAACATCTTATATTAATCCTTTTATAAAGACAAAAAGATAAAAAACAAAATGTGAGAAGAGAAGTGGAAAGATGAGAGAAATAAAAGGAGAGGGACTTCTACTCCGGTAAGATTAGCATTTTTGGATAAATTATTGAGACGCCACCTTTGAAGATAACTTTTAAATTTTTTTTTTAATACATAAAAAAGACTACGATTGCTAATTTTTCTTTCAGTAAAAATATTTTGGATGACTCGAGGTGAGAGTCCTCCATTCCATTGTCTAGTAACCCAGACACATCTGAGGCCCAATTTAGAATTTCCGATCCAGGCTTTCATCTAGAAAATGGATTTTGAAATTGTTCGGCTCGAAAAGAATTTGTTAGACAGGCTAGGCCTTAAATTGTTGGGCCGGTCCATTTTCTTGTATACGAGGAATGTTTTTCTTTTTAGTACATTGTAATCAAGAACTTGATTTCATGGTTTGTTAAAAGTTTTGACACGTTTATAATATAAGTATGTATTGCAGAAACACTTGTGAGTATAAGGCCTCGTTTGGTACGTCGTATATAGCACCGGTTAGGACTAATAAGATGGAATGGATGTTTAGTGTCTATATGTATTAAATAGTCATCAGATTAAATAATCTAGCCCTATCAATTTTATATAGCTCACATTCGCTTAGTTGTACTCTCCAAAACTACGATATTATTTAGTCGGGTTGATCAGTCCTCTCTCGCCATCCGCTCTCTCCATCCCTCGATCCACCTCACCCACTGCCAAATCTCAATGCCATGTCCTTAGCAAACCACAGGGCATTGTTAAAGACCATCCAATGCCTCGCCGACGATCGTATCACTGATGAAGTGATACCCTGATTACAAATTTGAAGAGGATGGTGAAAGAGATGATGAGTAGGCTCTTTGCCTCTACATCGGCTTCATTTCATCCTCCAAAAAAATGTTTTACAGACGTACCTATCTTTTTGTGTTTAGAGTTTCTTTCGATTTGGAAATGCAAGCAAAATTGTGAGAAATTCCAAACCACAGTATCACCAATGTGAGTGGCCATAAAAAACAACATAACTCTATTTTTTAATATATACCACATAGTATTACGGTTTAATAATATTTCTCTTTACTTGCAAGTGAGTTTGATATTAATTTATTCCTTTATTTTTTAATGTAAATATTGTATCATAAACTCTACTTTTCAATATATTTTGCATACCAAACCGAGGGGTGTCTAGGGTGTGCTCCAGCCCATCCCAACCTACAAAATGTCCTACCTTTAACCTACTCTTAAACTACCATCCTCCCACTTAAATGGCGCATCCCTACCCTAGATTTGGGCTGAATCCGCGCCTCACTATATCAAACAATTGAAAGAAAAGAAAAAGAGGTTGATCAACTATATAATTTTTTCATTTTAGCATTTATAATTGATGCTGATGGATACATAAAAAAGCCACAATTTTTGCAAAAGATAACATAGTCACATGAAATAAAGGACATACACTAATAAGTAAAAGTTCGATGAGGTAGCCCTAACCCATGCACATCTTATATATATATATTAAACACACAAACATGATTTGATACGAACGAAACAGTCGTCATATCAAATGTTTTTATTAATCACACACATGCAGATAGATCGTGATTGCAGCACACAGATTAATCACAGATCATATAATTAAGCCTTAAGCCTTCTGTGTTTATTTTGCATCGGTGCTTGTAAGGTGAGCATCAATATCTTTGGAGACCTCAACTGCAAACTGGAGCAATGTATGTGGATCTTCAATATCGTCATGGTGCTTCTCATACTCCATAGTCCAGTGCACGTTGCATCCCTCGCCTTTTGGAGTTGCGTGGATGGTGATCTTGAAGCTCTTGTAATGCTCCATAAGATCTCCTTCAATCACTTTGAAAGTGATCAGATTATTTTCAGCGTCTATGGCTTCAACCAACTCCTTAGCAACTTTGGCTTTTCCATCTGCATGCATGAAAAACTCACATAATTAATATAATATCACAAGCTTCAGCTTAGTTAAGTTTGCTAGAACCGTGTATTTCTCCCACTGCACTTAAGTTCAAAACCCCTCTCCATAATTTAGATAAATTTAGTATAAAATGTTGTTTGTATATTTTAGGGTTTAGGGTTATATAGAAGAGTAATACAGTCGATATTAATTGAAGCAAGGTAGTTAGGGTTTTACCATGGAAATAATTCCAGTAGACCACAGATCCGACGGTTCCCCAATCACCTTCATGTAGATCACAGCCCTGAATGTTGCTATTGCTGACATTGGAGATGTGGTGTGGCTTGTGTGTGAACATTTCATGGAACTTGGCAGCAGAAGCCTTGATTTCAACATCGGCCTCCACCTTACCACAATCGCTAGACATTTTCACCAAAAAAACGTGTTTGCAAATTATAGGAGGTGTGTAGTGCTTTACCCTATATAGTAGTTCTTAGTTTGAATAATACTTACTGGAGCCTTGCACTTATATAGATGGAGAGGGTGACTGGATGTGGTTAAATATTCTAATGGATAAGGTATTGGTTTCCAATAAGTTGGAAACTTCACATTCTCTAAATTATTGTAATAATTTCAAATATTTTTCCACTCAGAATATGTTATTAATTAATTGATAGTAGATAATAGATAGAGCCCACCACTAACACATGTGGGTCTTATCGCTTTTAAAGAGATGATACAAATGATGGTGTAAATATGTAGTAAGAGTATTATTTTTGGGTAATAAAAGGATTGATTGTATATATCTAATATAGCATATTATTAAGTGTAATTCTAGAGTGACTAAATTTTTTTTAACTAAATGACATGAGAGTTGATGATTGAGTTATTATTAACGTGCTTATTTTTATTGGTGACACATTATTTAGTTTGTAAATTTCATCTACAAATTTAGTCTATCTAGCATTACTCTATTATTAGTTGTTAGTTATTATTATTATATATTTGAAAGATAGAGATGAGATGATTGAGCAAATTAAATAATTTCAGTGGGGAGGCAAAATCGTGACGGGCGAGCTAACTCTCCAAGTACGTCTATATATATATATATATATGATGAGATCATACAATTAAGCAAATTAAATAATTTCAATGGAGTGGCAACAATCGTGACGGGCGAGCTAACTCTCCAAATTGCATTGAAATTCATGTAACAAAAGATAAATTTTCAATAAGGCAGCCTCACCACATAATTTGTAGAAAAGCTTCTACAAACAAGGAGGAAATTAATTCTGCATTTGGAGTAAGATAACGCTCTACTAAAGATTTTAACCTCCAATAAATGAAGTGAACCATACCGTATTGTTCACAATTAAAAATCTTTGCTCCCTGACAGATATGGGTATATGTACTCATATATGAAATTACTGGGGACAGAAAATTAAATACAAGGTCCTGCCATAGACAGCCATGTGATATTCAACCCATGTCCAGCGGCCTAGCTGAATTCAAGGGTGAATGAAACTAGAGTGGGAGAGTAATGGCTCTGTCTTCTATGGCCAAAGTATTAAACACACTTAGTACATAACAGGCTGTGATGATTAATTGTTGTTGATCTAACCACAAGTCACTACTCATTACTGTTGAAGATAGAAACCATATCAGCAGAAGAATGCCTGTTAGAAATGCTGTTAGTAGCTGTTAGAGTTTGTTAGAGTTTTTTAAGTCAGTTAACACCAGCTTAAGACACAAGAAAGCTCATGAGAGCTATATAAAGTTGTAGTAGTATCTATGTAATTCACTCAGAAGTAATACACTCAAATATTATCTCTCTCATCAATTCCTTTCTTTTCTGCTTTCTCGTTCATTGAATCTTTCTCTGAGTTCTTCATGTTCATCTGTTAACAATTATAATACTAATTGCATTTCACATAATAACATCTATAGAGAGGTTCTGTTCTAATTTAGGTATTAAACCAAGGAAAATGCTAATCCGACTCGCCCAAAAGATAATAGCATGTCAAAGGAGAAAAAACCACTTGCAGATACTTTCCATTATCGTGCATGCCTTAGCTAATTAATTATCATATCCTGATGGTGGTTTGCTCCATAATTTTCAAAGATTTGCTGGATAATTGTTTATTTTATTGGATTATCAAGTTTACCATCCGGATCTCACTTCCATTGTTTATGTATTTATATGTCTGTGGATCTTCAACGAACCTACCAGCTAGTAGCTGTTAATGGAAAGTCTCACAGGATATGCTAATAATGATTTATTTAAATTTAGTAGCTGTTAAATGATAATGATGTGTCTTTGGATCTTCAACTAACATTCCACATTTAATAGTACCAGCAAACTTGATGAGACATACCAGAATTCTATCGGATCGTGTTGAAAGAAACATTAATGATTGATACCTCCATAGCATTATTGGAGTGAATGATTGTATATGATATTAAGCCGTTAAGATCTTTGGATATGAAGTGTGTGTGTATATATTACATTACGATAAAACTAATTTAAATTTGTATTATTTTAATTAATGATAAGATTAAAGAAATCAATGATTTATGTTAGGGTGCTTTAGATTTAGCCCCTTACAACTGTTGAACTCTAGACATAAACTGTGACATCCCACATCGTCCAGGGGAGTGATCCTTATATGTATATTTCCATCTCTACTTAGCACGAGGCCTTTTGGGAGCTCACTGGCTTCGGGTTCCATCGGAACTCCGAAGTTAAGCGAGAAGGGGCTAGAGCAATCTCATGATGGGTGACTCACTGGGAAGTTGCTCGTGAGTTCCCAAAAACAAAACCGTGAGGGAATGGTAAGCCCAAAGCGGACAATATCGTGCTACGATGGTGGAGCGGGCCCGGGAAGTGATCACCCCCGGGCAGGGATGTGACAATTTGGTATTAGAGCCTAATCCTGGCCGTGGTGTGCCGACGAGGACGTCGGGCCCCTAAAAGGGGTGGATTGTGACATCCCACATCACCTAGCGGAGTGATCCTTATATGTATATTCCCATCCCTACCTAACACGAGGCCAAGTGGTCCCCCCAGGCCAGGATGTGTCAGTTTGGTATTAGAGCCTAACCCTGGCTGTGGTATGCCGACGAGGACGTCGGGCCCCTAAGGGGGGTGAATTGTGACATCCCACATCACCCAGGGAAGTGATCCTTATATATATATTCCTATCTCTACCTAGCACGATGCCTTTTGGGAGCCCACTGGCTTCGGGTTCCATCGGAACTCCGAAGTTAAGCGAGAAAGGGTTAGAGCAATCCCATGATGGGTGTCCCACTGGGAAGTTGCTCGTGAGTTCCCAAAAACAAAACCGTGAGGGAATGGTAAGCCCAAAGCGGACAATATCGTGCTACGATGATGGAGCGGATAATATCATGATGGGTGTCCCACTGGGAAGTTGCTTTTAATTCCTTTTTAAAAAAAAAGAAGTTCTTTTCTTCTTTTATGTGAAATCGCCTAATCCAAATCTAATTAGTTCAATATACATTCTATAGATAAAGTAGATACATTAACTTGTGAAAATTTAAAAGAAAAAAAAAAAGAGGTAAAAATAAACTAGTAGATACATTGTTTCTTGTAAAAACTAAACAATTAGTTACATTATTTTCATAAAAAAATAAACAATATGTAAATTTTTTTTTTAAATTACACAATAGGTGCACAATTTTCGTAAAAATTAAATAATAGGTACTTTATTTTTGGAAAAAAAAAAAACTAGTAGAAACATTGTTTCTTTTAAAAATTAAACAATGAATTTATAAGGTAAATTAGTTTGCATGTATTTTGTATATATGGGTTTGTTATTATGTAGGTAAATTATTTTTCATGTATTTTACATATACTGGGTATATTATTTTTCTTTTTTTAAGCAATCTAACATTTTAAAATTTTAATAGTAGGTGCACTATTTGAATCAAATGTTTTTTTTAGTAGGTAAATTATTTTGCATGAATTTTACATATATCAGGCATATATATATATATATGTGTGTGTGTGTGTGTGTGTGTGTGTGAAATAATTTACCTACATTAATATGTAAAATATAATTTTATTGACTTAATTAAGCGTGTATAATAACATATATTAGATGTGATAACCCGTTCCAAATTTTACGTTTTTATTTTATTTTAAAAGCGTGAATTTACGAAATTGCCCTAGAGATAAGGACTTTGACTTCCGTTGACCATCGACTTGAGAGATGTGGGACTTATTCTTTTAGCATATCCTCGTAGTACTCATTGGTACGAACGTATAGGCGAAAGCCGTTTGCGAGTCCGGATTATAACGGTATAGTTACGGACGTTCGAAATTAGTTATTCAAGGTTTAGTGTTTATTTAAATTAAATCCTCACTTTGTGGGGGAAGCCCAATCAGAAATGGAGGAAAGAAAGAAAAAAAAAAAAAAAAAAAAAAAAAGGAGGTGGTTCCCGTCCACCCGCACCCACCGCGGGTCCATTTTCCAAGGCCGATTCCGGCCAACTCCGGTGGAGTTTTTCGATGCCACCACCATCATCTTGAAGCTCTCATTCCCCTCTACAAAACCCACCCAAGAACCACCTTGATTAACCATGGTATGGGGCGGTTTGTGGCCACAAAAGTTGACGAAAATCAATGGTGCTCCCGCCACCCTTTTCGATTTTCCGGCAAATCGGCAAAGCGATGGCCGATGCCACCACTTGGGATTTGTAGCCCATCATCCCAGGACCAAAACCCAACCAACCTTGACCCCGTTGGACCACCGTAGACGATGAATCGACGTCGGGAAGTTTTAGGCACCCGCCGGCTTTGTGGGAAAAATTGACCATCTTCCGTCCACTTTTGGACTTCATGGCAGGTATGAAAGTTGCTCCACTCACTGATATATTCATTTCTGTGAAGTTTGAGAATTTTTGGAAATAGTTGGATTTTCCGGCGAGTCGGGGTGGCCGACCGCCACCCGCGGCGGCGCGTGCGGCGGCGCGTGGCCAATGGGCCGCCAATGCTATTTTTAGGCTATGTCAAATGTCTTGAATTCAGTTTTGTCATTTGAATGACGTAGGTTGATAGTTGGAACCTAAATTCGTTACGATACGTTACTTGATAAAAATGTGAATCGATGATCCGACCGTTGGATCGTCACCAAAATTGGGTAAATTATAATACGTAATATTTAAAGATCATAGGAATTTATGGATCAGGAATCCGACTTACGGATCTTCCTGAATTGGATTTGTAAGTTAGTAAAATAAATGTTCACGGCCACTTGTTTTAGGCAATTGGCGGAGATCTGACCGTTGGATCGTAATGAAATTTTAATATGTTATTCTAGAAACATATTGTGGATCGTTGGGAGTTGCGGATTGGAAATCTAATACGCAGATCTTTCGGGTCAAGTTATACAGGGTTGTAAACCTTACCGTCGATCTTTGATCGACGGTTGACTTGTGGTCAATGAGTCTC